CGTTGATTACTTTGGAACAAGTGAAAACTACTGAGTAGTCGAAAAAAAAAATAAGAAGAATCTTAATTAGCAAAACTGTGATGGTCGAGTGTTGTGAACTTTCACTGTATGCAAATTGTCTTGTGATGAGCATGCGGTTTAATTTCGGCGATGATTGAAATGACGTCCATTTTAATCACTTTTTTGATCTCTGGCAATGATGTAATTTCTCTGGAATCAAGGCCCTTGAATTTTCGTGTATTTATACACGCGTATAGCCTGCGACCGCAGACTTATTTCCGGTCGTCGCTAACACGCGTACTAAATCAATTCAGAAACAGGTAAAAAGTATCGACGTCGATAAAGTAGGACGTAAAAAACAGTCACATCCGCACGTCGTCATTCCCAATGAATTTTCCTTCACTAGTCTCCGCTGCTCGATCTCCAATTATACTTTGAAGGGGCTCAGGTCTGATAAACCTTCGCACAAATACGATACAAATAACTATCAGTCCAAAGCTTTTTAATCTGCGACAACAGATCACATCAGACCACATCTGTGACGCAAGTACATGCCAAGTTTGATTGAGTTTAGCGAGTAAATCCGTTTCGTTTCGTGTAGAATTAATCACCTCCAAGAGAGGAAAAAGGGGACAGAGAAGGCATCCCCCATACACACTCTATTTCATAGGTAATTCGTCTCGAGTTATTTTTAAGACGGCAGATCCCAAGGGGATTAGACAACAGCCAATCACATGGTGCTAACGTGTTCCCCGTAGACGACCCACGCTCAGAGCCGCGCGTCCTTCACGAATTGGCGCAGAACAAAATGGCGGAAGACGCGGAGAGCGATATTGCTATTCGTTTTGCCGACGAAAACGACTTCAGAGGCCTCAGAGAGATTTCTGCAAAAGCTATTTTAGCAAAACGGAAATCAAAAAAGAATCGCCCTTCATGGCTTGTTTCTAAGCATTGTTACGACTTTGATTCGAGCGAAGCTGAGCGTTCTAGCGAAGAAGATGAAGAAGTCAGTGCAAGCGAGGAGGAAGCTGTAACCGAAACGGAGAGTGCCAATGAAATACAAGAAAACGTAGAAAGCTCGTATTCCGGTGATAGTTCAGCAGATGAAGCGAAGACGAGGAAAAGTGCTGGGAAGCCTAAACCTGCACCTTCGAGTTCGACCGTCACCAAATCAAGCAAACCTCATTTCTCGATCTAATCTTTAAGCAAGCGAGACTGAATGCCGCTGTAAGAGACTTCTTGTTTCTTGTAAAATCTCGTCACTAAATAACGCAAGTTCGATTCAAACGATGGTTTCGTCTAGTGCATACCTTTATGTGTTTTACCTCTTTCCTCGAATAACTAGAAGCAGTTTACTATTAAGTGAAAAATGTTACATGATACGATCCTTTGCTTAAAAATGACTTTGGAATGACAACAGTAACTGTCAATAACAGTAACTAAATTTCACAAAAACTTTAAAATTCTTCGTCTTTACTTATTTATTCTTTCTTCACTTATGTATTACTAAACCTCTGCTTGTAGCTTGATTATTTGTTTCTAAAAAGAATACATTTAATAGAGCGATTTCGTATGACCTGGTTTCGGTAAGCGTTCGTTATTTGTTTTATCAGCCAATGGATGAAAAGATCAAAACATGGCCTCTTCGTTTTCCCGCCATAGAAAACCCTAATATGGAGAAGGCATTGTTCGATTGGCCAATCGTGTTGCAGTATGACGTCAAAGCGAAGTATCTGTTGATTTCTAGAAAGTTCTCGGGGATGAAGTTTTTTCACCCGAGAGTTCGCTTGACCAACCAAAAGCGACGCGCGTTTGTACCCGTTCGATAAACCAATCAAATCGCTCTATTTCCGTTCGTTTGTTGTTTCTGTTTTGTTCGCGTGTTTTCGTTTCAAGGTCACACGTAAATCGGCGCTCTAACAGTTTTATGTCATTTTCTATTTTAACCTACGTTAAAAATTACAATCAAAGCAATATTATGTTTTACGATTACTGGGTTGTAAATAAAAACATCCCATTATCTGAAAAAAGTTTAAAAACACTCACATGATCACTTTAAGATAGTTTAAAATTGCCTATGATGAAACGAATTTAAATGTAACTCTAAACTTTCTTTCACCTTTAACATTCACTTCTCAAAAAACCTCTATCACGATGAGACTTTTACAATATATCTGGGAAGCCTTTTGTCTTTGCGTTCACTTTTTTATTTCACTGAGTATCACCATTAGCTTTTTTGAAAGTAAAGACAGAGTAACTCCTCTGTTGCCTTTACACTATGTGAAAACTAGAGGGTCAGGGAAAAATCGCTGTCACAGGCTACCCAAATTCTCTGCAATTCCCTCAGTACGTTTCCGGGATACAGAGATGATTTGAGTTACCCTGTTTAATAGTTGAGTGGTTTACTGAAACATACTCTACTGAAACACAGCTCTTACCTACATAATACGTTCAGTACATTTGAATTTCTCGTAAAGAGGCATTCAGCTCTAATTGTTTAAAGAAATAAAGTTTGTTGAGATCAATTTTGTTATCTAAAATAAGCCCGTGATCAGGGGAGGAAGGTGTCTCCAGGGAAATCGGTGGTTCAGTCCGCCGGCCAGTATGACGTATGCGATGAGCGAAGTGTTCATCGAAGAGACGGATAAAAATTTCGAATTTATCACGGAAATCCTGTTCCGATTTCTTGGATTTTGAGATTTTGAGGTCCCTATTGTCACAGAAAACTAGACTTTAGTACTTTTTTGTAAAGAAATGTCCAGTGGTGTCATGAATTTTAAAGATTCCTTTCTATCGTCGAGCCAATTCTACCGGCAATCATACCGACCGGTCACACTTTTGAGGGCCAGTGCACAGCAAGATTGAGGAATTTAGCCACAGCAATGGGAGGTTTATCAAAGGATGTATTATACTTTGCATTGTGCGTATTTTCCGCTCTTCAGAGCTAGAGGAACCCCATATCAATCCTTTTAAAGTTCGCTTAGCTTTAGCATTGAGAGAGGAAACTAAATGACAGGTAATTGTTAGAGACTACGAGCACTGAATCTTGTTGCTTTGCCGCATTTTAATACCGTACTCTGGGCATACACCTGTAATTCTCTGTAATTAAATCCCGAAAACCAATAAAAGGTTTCGTTTAATTATTTTTCGGGGGCAAACCCAGTGGATATTTTAGGGTCAAAATATTGATGATTAAGACGATGTGCAAAAGGCAAGTTTAAATTTCGCCAGTAGGTCACTGGTGGGTGTTGGGTGTAAACTAGTACAGTTTGTGGTGTACTGTGTGTTGTTTGTCATGATGTCAACTAACATTGCAAAAAAATTCAGCCGTTTCAGAGCAGGGACAGCTTATGTTTTTTTTCAGCCGTTAGATTGGCCACTTTATGCAGATCAAGAGCTCTTGAAATCCCTTTTCCAAAATAAAACTATGGACTAATAAGCTTGAAATATATATTGATCCCAGTGCGTGATCAGCAGAATCAGCAGTAAGAATAAAGGAAAACAGGCCAAAAGGAAAAATAGTGTTAAAAAGCAAAGACTAAACAGAAAAAAACGGTACAAAGAAACATAAAATAGCGTCGCCAAGAGTCGAACCCGGTATATCTGCACGTGCAAGCAACTCCTTGACCACTGCACCACAGAGACAAACATGATTTTGAAAATTAATTTTGCTACATCAAAACCATTTCTCTGCCATAGACGCTGTTTGACGCTGGTGGAGCTGTATTTATCTTGAATTCAAATATACATTTGTGGAAAATTAGCTCAAGAACAAATCTTAAAGCTATTTCGCATTATTTCTAGTTCAACGGGCCGATCGATGTAGATAATCGATCGAACTAGCTTTACTGAACTTGGCGGAGAATTAGGAGATCAACAGAGGATCAACAAAGGATTAATATGAAGTTAGGCCGGTTTAATTAGGGAAAGAATAGATGAAATATAAACATGTGTCATCTGTGAATGGAACCTCCTATTCTGGAGGCTAGACCTTGTCTATTTTAGAGAAAAAAAGGATTTAAGTTTTGATGACCTTGCCGGTCCTGTAAAAATGATGGCAATCCAGGGACACGGCCCGCAAAACAAATTAACAAAATTATACAATTATGGACACAAAATATCACAACGGTTTACACAAGAAGATTATAGCAACACCAAAGCTCACGCACCTTCTATCAAATTAGCGATATATAGCGATATTTGCAAGCTTCTTGGCTTGTCCTCGACCTCGCTCGTCCTAATAACTGTGGCGTCCCTTGCTAATTGCACGAGTTGCCCGTTACTATGTAACGTCACACTAGCAGACCGAGTAGGTCAAGAAACGCAGGTGGAAAACTATAGAATCACCTCCCCCCCAGGTATTCTCAAGAGGAGATAAAGGAGATGGAGAGGGAGGCTTTTGGGGGGTAGCTTCTGAGGATAATATAGTTTTATTGTGATTGGTTAATTCTTCCGCTTTTGCTTGCGTCTCCGATGGACGTTCTGGTTTTCACAGAGTCGGCACTAATATATTCGGAAACTCTACTTACTAACTTTGTCGTTTGATTTTCTTTACTTCAAAATGCCCAAGATCATGACTGTAAGCCCATTTCCAGCTAGGTTTCCTAGAAGCTGTGAGTGACGAAGCCAGCTTCAGTACAACAGGCGGCCTGTTCTAGGCGTTCAGATTGAGGAGTTTGGCCCGAATGGAGACCATTGCCCACTTCTCTTTGCGTCGCCTCAATAATCTGAACGCCTGGAACAGGCTACTTCAAAAGGGACTACAATAGTTCGCACTAGATTCTCTTGGATACGATGCTCACAGTAGAAGGCTTTGCCTTAATTAAAAAAGACATTTAACGTCTGTCTTGGTCGACCAAATTAATCTCCTCCGGACGCTGTTGTCTCATACCACCACTTGAGAACGAGGGACCGGGTACTGAAAGAGAATTCTGGCTCTGTTGTCCAGCATTTGTGACACCTTGATCAGAAGTGTTTTGAGAAGCGTCAGCTGAATCATACTTTTTCCAAGTAACCCATGTGATAAATGCAGTGATGAAGTACAACGAGGTGGTTTTAAGCACTTCATCTACAGCCATTTCCTTCTCACTACTTGAGTGTCCTGCAAAAATTACTATGAGAAAAAGGATCAGGACAGCAAGGCAACAACCTATTAAAAAAGCTATGACCTGTCTGCGATGGCTAGTAGTACCACTAGCGCGGTTGTTACGACCCTTAGGGAATTCCTCGAGGTAAAGATACTTTGCGTAAGTGACAGCAGCAAAAACAGAGCTAACAAGAAGAGCAATAGTTAAGCCCCATGTGGGATTAATCCTTATTCCAGTCACAATCCAGCAGAATATATAGCTTATCGCGTGTCCTCCAAATATTTTTAAAAAACATAAAACGCATTCGTCCTTGTCTTCACACATTTTATACAAGATACACATTACAGTGAACTCTCCTAAACTAAACACAATAATCAGTGCTAAAATTGCAATAATATCAGTACCCCGGTAAACACTTGAGAGTATTAAAGCAACGATGATAAGCAAACTGCCCGGTACTGACATTAGATAAAAAGAAAAACACACAGCTTTTACTGTGTTTTTCTTCTTGTAATTGTTATTGTTACTCAGTTCTTCTAAATCCCTTACATACTTAGCTAACAAAGGGCCACTAACAATTACAAAAATCAAAGACAACCATAACACTGCTCTGATGTAAGGACTTCGTCCTTTGGCTTCAAAATTTGTGTCATGACCCTTTATCACACACTCAGCTGTGTTTACTGATGG